GTTCGAAGAGGGTGTGATCGACGAAATCAGTGGGGCAAGCCACCCCAACATTCAACGATTCTAAGACGTTGGATTCGAGATGTTCTGCGAGGGAGGAAAGTAGATGGTCGAGGTCAACTGCATTTGTAGCTGTCTCAATATTTAGCTGCGCGCGCTTCACGGAAAGTTGCAAGGGGGCCAACAAAACGAGAAGAAGCTTGACCCTTGGAGCAGTCATACTGATTTTGTCTATTGACAATATGACGCTGAACGGCGATGTTGTTTCTAGGCTGTAACCTTCTGGCACAAGTATCTTCAACTCCCTCAACTGTTTGAGGGACGCAAGGTGATTCAATGCCTGTGCATTCACTGCTGCCGTCTCCAGGATTTCCAGATCGTCCCAGCAGGGAATGACATCTGAGAGCATGGTACATGCACTAGTGGGTGGAGTCGAACAACGGAATTCTTTGATCTTAGGACAAGCCTTGCCCACGCTTGCCAAGAGATCGACTAATGCTGGTGGCCAGCACTCCGAATGAATGACCAGTCGAGTAAGGGTCGTGGAAACGCAGCGCTGCAGGCAAGCTAGAAGCACATCACAGTTGTCATACCAGTACAGCTTGTGGGGAGAAAATGACGGGGACAGCGAAGCATGAAGGTCCCAAGGAACAGGTGCAATGCTACCATGCAGCCCACGATGCCTCACATCATATTTTTCGAAAGTGAGCGAGCGCATTTGGCACACATACTTTTGAAAAATAGCCAAATCATCATCGACCAATGATCTGGGAAGCCTCTGGAATCGATATACCATGAACGACATTCGAAAGAGAAGAGCACCAACTCACCACCATGCCACCAGCTGTAGCCATATCGGAACGACATATGGAGATTCCCGATATGCTGAGATCCCTCCCGAATCTTACGGGTTGAAAACGAGAACCAGTGTCATGAGGCAGCCTGCACATGACAAACATGTATGAAGCATGTATGTGCGCCCACAGGGCGTCCAGTGCCAACTCTCGGAGAGTTCGACACGTCAACGCCAGGTGGTACAGAGTGACATATGATGATCGGACGCTGCTCGCCCTTACTTCTGTCACATTCGCAAAAATGATTCGCAAAATCTCTGAGACCTGCAGGCAGGCGTGCATTGCGGGTGCAAATCACGGCTGAACATTGGCGACGGGTGGTCATTGATTAATGTCATGTCTGTACGAGTTGCGACTCACCGGACACCGTCAAGAGTTATCGCGATAGAACGAGCGTCAAAAGGAGTGATGTGAAGTGGAACCGTACGCCTGAGTACATGCTAATTAGGCAGTAAATGTGCGAGAATACTACTGATTAAGGACGCGAAGTTGCAAACAGCAGTCAGCCTCGCAATTGTCTGCACGGGAAATAGCTTTGAGTATAAAGGCGCGCAGAGTAGCATGTAATGTTCTAAAGGGAGTGGAAAAGCATGAAAAGGACGAATTCAGTGATGTTCTGCAATGGTAAGTATGGGGGGGGGGCAAGCAAAACCGCATCTATTGCCCGCCCGGAGAATCTGATACTCCTCGCTCCGATATTTACTTATCCGACGCTTGGAAGAACCCGCGTATGTAGCAAGTAGATGAATCGGATCATCAAGGATCTAAGGGAAAAATAGGGGACACACGTTGCTAAGTCGTGGCCCGGAGCGATTCGTTTATGAAGAAAATACGAAGAAAATACGGAATACGCAGCTCAGTAGATGATTTCAATCAATACTTGTTCAAACTAAAATTAAACGTCTGCTGCAAGTCCGCTATCTCAACCAGCCCTCCCTCCCGATCTTGCGCGGATCGAATCCGTGTCTAGTTGTTCTAAGTAAGTCACATTCTGAATGAAAAAGAAGTACGTGCTGAACAATGTCAAGGATCTTTGTGGAAACGTCTTGCAAAATTTCGAGAACAAACATCGAAAACCTGCTGCGTACAATATCTCAAAATCTTGTCTTCAACCCTCTCGTGAGGAATGCCTCATGCATCTCGATTGACACTCATTCGACATAAATCATATAGGCTTATTTACTCACCAGCAATCTTGGATCCTAAAATACAACGAAAACCCACTCGAGAACTTCAACGAGCTGCTCTCACGTGCATAGTCCACATTATCCTTAGTTAAGAACCGCCGACCATGTCTTCTACGGCGGCTAGAATCAAAAGGGCGTCAACAATAAAGACCCAAAAGATGATACGAGGCCATACCAAGCTGGTTCGAGGCGTTGCCCACCTACCTGGTGGGCAGCGCCTCATCACATGTTCGAGAGACGGCTCACTTCGACTATGGGACCTAGAGAGCTGTACACAGATAGGCGAAGATTGGCGAGATGAGGCGGACGAAATAGGCGTATGGAACATGGCCTTGTCACCGAACGGCAGAACTGTCGCCAGCTGCTATCTAGATGGGACAGTGAGGTTGTGGGACGTGGAGACGAGGAAGGTCATCACGAAATGGAAAGAGCCCAGCGAGAACGTCAACTCGGTATGTTGGAGCCCAGATGGTGTGCAGGTTGTGATCGGATCCGCAGATGGGACGGCAAGAGTGTGGGATGTCGAGAACGGCGTACCATTGATGGTCCAGGGTTTAAATCCAATCCAGACGGGACACGAGTCAGTATACGTGGTGAGCTACTCACCAAAGGCAACAAAGATCGCGACAGGAGGATACAACGAAGATGGGATTAAAATCTGGGACGCAAAGTCGGGCAAGGCGCTCTCAACAATCAAACACGAATATGCGGTTTGGAGCTTGGCTTGGACGTCGGATGAAAATAGGCTTATATCTGGCTCAGGGAATGGCTCGCTTAGGATATTCAACACCGCCACATGGGAAGAGATCGCCGTTCTAGACGGTCACAACCAGGTTGTTGAGGCCATCGCTTTATTTCGCAATGACCGCCTCCTTGCGAGTACATCATGGGACAAAACAGCACGTCTCTGGAATTTGGACAATAACCGCTCTATCGGCCTACCCCTCAAGCACGACAAGGATGTTGAGTTTGCAGCCTTCTCTGCTGATGGAAAGATGCTATCCACAGCTTGCGCTGATGAAAACGCGTACGTGTGGGACATTCACGCCATCCTCAAAGCCGCTGGTTTAGAAAATCTCCTGTCCATACCTGTGAGTGCTAACTTAACTCCAACTCGCTATCTCATTCGCGATGGCTTAGGCACAACATTCTGGACTCAAAAGGGAGGTGTGTATCTCGAAGCCTTTCAAAGATACACCATCTCAATGTCCAATTCGCAGAAGTTGTTCTCAGATGTACTAGTATGCCTTGTCTTTCTTGACCTTAACATTGGTTGTGATATTGATGTTCTAGGCCACTGCTAGGCGACATTCAGATCCCTTTCAACTACCAGGCTTGCTCGATGACTTGCAAGACTGTGATCCTGTATGTTCCTACCATCCAAAATTACCGATTTGTTTACTAACTTATATGCCCAGATCTCCGCTAGCAGTAGTCTTCATCCTCATCCCTTTGTACATCGTCGCCGTAGTGCTTTTGCATCCTTCCAGGAGTCGCGTACGCGTACGCTCCAAGTCTGCCTTCCCCCACTCTTCCACCCCTTATTGCCCGACGTCGATGAGCCAATTGAACTTCAACAACGCCTAGAACCCAGTGCCTCCTCTAGTGGTAGTCCTCCTGTGCAGCAAGACGACCAGGTATGCCTTTTTTTACAGCAGATTACCAATGGCCGGTATATGAAGATTTATGTACAGGTGTTGCACGTTGCCCAGCAGCCAGAACGAACCAGTGACAAAGCGAAACACATCAAGAACTCCACGTGGTGGAATCGTTTTGTACTATTCCTCTTTTGTGCGTCTCATTCTCCCGTTGATAGTCGCAGCGAGTAATACATGGGCAATCACCTTCATATTCTTGTTACTTTGTTTCTTGTCTCGTATCGTCTTTCAATATCTCACCAATAACATCTGTTGACATTTCGCGTCCTAACTCGTGTTTCAAGAAATAGCGCTACGTACTGGGTATTTTATCCACATTCTCGAGCGCTACACTGCGTTACGCGTGGATGCATCTCCGAAGAACACAAGATATTATCCACCTGTGACCTGTCCGCTCGAACTTGGTATTGTGTCATGATTTTATTTCCAATGTAAGGTTCGCTTGTTTTCAGCCCAGCCAGAATTAGGTCATTCTATATGGGTACCCGCCTTGCGCTCGTGGGTGGTATCCGCTGAATGCTGGAGAAATAACCGAACTTCTGCGACCCTCAATGCGTTCGTGATTACATCCACAGGTACTCCTCGGTCTTTCATCGCTCTTGCCACCGTTCACCTGCTGTACTTGTTCTAATTTCTATATTTTCAGTCTTCCACTACCGGTCATTTCCATCCTCATTCCTCTTTACATCATTGCCCCCGTGCTTTTATATTATCTTGGGAACCGCGTCCACGTGCGCTCCTCGCCCGCCTTCCTCGACTCTTCCGCCGTTCCCAACCTAACAATAGTGAATCAATTGAACTACAGCAATGCCCAGGGGATAGTACATCCTCTCACCTTAATCCTCCTGTTGTCAAAGTTCCTGCACTAGACGACAAGAAGGTACATCTTCTTGGGGATGTTTCTCAATGGCTGGAGTCTCAAGCTTTCGTTACAGACACTGTATACTGCTCGGCGACCGGAGCGAGCTAGCGACAAGGCAAAACGCACCGAGATCCCAAATGGTGGGCTCGCGTCGCACCCTGTGTATCTCCATCCACCGACAACAGTCATTAATGGGTGTAGCGCACAATAACTATCTTCGGCCTAGTGTTTAGTTTCACTGTTTTTTTATCTTGTTTCTAATGTGTTGTGTTTTCGCTAACCCCATTGACCTCTCGGACTTTAACTCGTCTGTCAAATTTGTGCAGTTGGTGAGTCCTGTACTTTGAGGAGTACGCTGGATGCTGGTATCCAGACTTTGAGCTGACTTTTGGTCAAGATTCTTGATTTCCAATACTGCGAGACAACCCATCTATATGTTCAACCAGTTGTAGCCAAGTGGTTACTCCAACAGACTGGAAATCTGTGTCTCTTGGACTGTGCAGGTTCAAAACCTGTCGACGAGGTTTTTTTTATCAGAATACACCCACCCTTGACACCCAAGTGGTCATCAGAACGAAATCAAATTTTCTTTTTTTTTGAACTATGCAGGTTCAAAACCTGCCGATGGCACGATTTTTTTACCATTATTTTGAAGATTTCCTCAGGGAGCTATCTCAACTGGTCTTGGCAGGCTGCTTACCACAATAGAATCAAAGTTCGTCGAACCTGCCGATTGCAAGGTTACTTCCCCCATCGGAACGCGCCTTGAACAATTACTCATCGACAGTCTCTCGGAAATTCATCTCTACTGGTTTTAGCAAAGTGGTTACAGTATCAAAACCTATTCCCCCTAGACTGCGCAGATTCGAAACTTGCCGACGAGGCTGTTTTCTATCGGAACGCACCTTGCCATTCACTCATGAATGATTTCTTAAGAAGTTTATTGTAACTGGTCTTAGCCAGATGATTGGTGCAACGGAATCGAAATCTGTTTATCTTAGATTGTGCAGGTTCGCAACCTGCCGATTACAAGGTTTTTTTCTATAGGAACAAGGTTTCATTCTATCGCAATACACCTTGATATTCACTCATGGAAGGTTTGTCGCAGGCTCGAAACTCGCCGACGACGAGCTTTTTCTATCGAAACACACCTTGACATTCACTCATGGATGATTTCCCTTTCATCCTAGCCCAGTGGTTGCTACGATGGAATCAAAACCTGTTTTCAGGCTCGAAACCTGCTGATTGTAAGGTTTTTCTTTTTATCAGAACACACCTTGACATTCACTCATGGATGGCTTCATTAGATGTTTGTCTTATCCGGTCACAGCCTGGTGGTTGCCACAACAGAATCGAAATCTGTTTCTACTGCACTGTGCAGGTTCGAAACCTGCTGAGAGCGAGGTTTTTTTGCTATTGGAATACACCTTAATATTCAGTCATGGACGGTTTCCTCAAAGGTACATGTCAACTGCTAGCAAGACGGTTGCTATGTCAGGATCAAAATCTGTTCCTTGGACTGTGCAGGATCGAAACCTGCCGACAACGAAGTTCTTTTTATTGGAGTACACTTTGACATCCATCCATGGATGGTTTCTTTTGAAATTCAGTGTAAATGGTCATAGCTAGGTGGTCTTCATAACAGAATTATCTGTTTCTCTTAGACTGTGCAGCTTCGAAGCCTGCCGATCACAAGTTTTTTTTTTGCTTCCAGGACACGCCTTGACATTTCCGGATGTTAAGGCGTGTTCTGGAACTCATGGATGGTTTCCTTCGAGGTTTATCTTAACCGGTCTCGGCTTGGTGGTTGTCGTAACAGAATCGAAATCTGTTTCTCTTGGCTTGTGCAGGTTCGAAACCTGCCGACAACAAGGTTTTTTCTATTGGAAACACTCCTTGACATTCACTTACCGATGGTTTCTTAGAAGTTTAGCGTAACTTGTCCTAGCCACGTTGTTGCCATGATGGAATTAAAATTTGTTTCTCTTGGACGGTGCAGTTTCAAAACGCAAGTTTTTTGTCCTTGGAACACGCCTTGACATTCATTCATGCATGGGGGTTCATGCTCAGTAAGAACTGATTGTGCTCGAAACAGCCGGGGTGTGCCAAAATATGCTTATGGTAGTGGCTGAGGAAAAAAGCATAGATTAGCACATTTTGGTTATGAAACAGCAGAAATAGCATATTTACAATAAGACGGCGCAAAGCCTCTTATGTTTTACTTCACATGAGCATATGAAAATCACACTGGCGCATATTAGTGCGCACTTTTGATTCCCTCGCTGAATGTGCTCATTTAGGCTGAGATATGATTATGCTCGGATATTGTTTGATTATGTTGAAATATAAAACACGCCTGTAGCACTAGCACCGCTCTAAAACAGTACAGAAGGTCATGAAATACAAATACAAAATAAAACTAGAAAAACCTATGAAACGCAGGCTGCGCAGCATCGAAAGTGTACGGGATGGGGATCGAAACAGTGTCCGCCAGGCAGTGGGTAGGATGGTAGACAGCATCGAACGTGTACAGTATCTACTAGTACATCTTGGCCTAGAAACACTCAATCAGAATAGATGGTGACCGCAACTATATTACTCACAAGTGTGTTCGCTTCGTTGTCATACTCCTAAATTGAAATAAGTGGTTATCTGTACATAAGGAACGAAGTCACATACCTTCTTCTGCTCATCATTAAGACTGCCGTAGTAGACACAGAACTTGTCCGTAGCTCCGTTTGTCTGAGCTAGCAATGGGCGCATAAATTCCTGGTTGCGTAAACTAGTCAGACAAAGAAGGTTGAACAAACTCACGTACCGTCCATTCTGCCTCTAGCTCAGACGCATCTCAGGCATCAGTTCTCGGTACCAATAAAAGTCTATGAGACCGTACTTATTATTATGATTGGAATCACCGTTGTGACACAAGCTCAATATGGTAACGTGGATTGTAACATAAATGTAACGTCACACTCTTCATATTCTCGGCTTGTCATTGGATCATTGCAACACGTTTCAAGGCGACGAAACCCGATTAGGAAATTTCCAACAGGACTCTTAAGTTACCGGTCGGCTAATTCATTTGACTCTAAGGCACGGTTGGACTTAGCACACCCTTGAACTTGACAACTCATGAATTGAGCACGCCTTAAGGGCCCTTAAGCGACGGGACCTTTTTGTTTGTACAGCTTCCACTAAACAAAAGCGGTGAAGGGAACAAAATGCTATCGATATGAAAGTAGCTGTAAGGTCTCGCATGGCAGATAGCTAATTCATAATTCAGCAAAGCTACGAGGTGTTTCAAAAACTTATGTTTCAGCGTCTTCGGAAGTTCAGGCTATTAGATACGCTTGAGGTCAGTCCATTCTCTTGATCCCACGTCAAAGTCTTCACGGCACGTTGCACTGTAGATGATCAATATGTCAACCCTCTGTCGCCTTTATCACTTCACGTAAAAGGATTTCTACTCTTTCTCCCGTCGGGTGAAAACACTGTTCCACAGACTCTATCATATACGATTCTCTAGGGTTGATCACCCTGCTGGTAATTCTCACCGCTTCCAGTCCCAGATAATAGAACACATCTTCCAGACATCCCCTTATCTTTCCAAATTTTGGGTCATGTCGTCCTATACTCCACAGACAGATTTGCCGCTTGAACGGTCCCGCCTTGTTGGAATGATTTTGGGCGGTGTATCTTACGGTACGTTTTCGGCTCACACACGATGGTGTGGTAGTTAACCTCTGTGCCATAATAGGTGTATACCTTCTCCTTACTGTACAAGCGTTGATTGCTCTCATGCAACGTCCCCGACACGGGCAGAAAATTGCAAATAATCGTCGCACCCTCATTTGTTACACCCTCGTCACATTCGCGCTTGGAACGGTTTGCTTTGCTGGCAATATAAAATACACGGAAATGATTTGGATAGACCTTCGTGATGCACCCGGTGGTCCGGTCGCGCTGATTAAGAACGTAATGAATTACCGTATCAACTTCATGGCGATATGTTGGTAAGCACCTTTGCCTACCCATCTACACACAGCACTGATGATTTAAATTTAGTGGTTACGTCGCGGAGTGGTTAATGCAAACACTGCTTGTAAGCTGGGTTGTTTGCCGTATGTGCAAGCCTGATGCTTGGAATATTCAGCTTTATCGATGTTTTGTGATATGGAATTGGGCGAGACCCGTCATGATCCCCATGGTCGCCATCTATATTGGCATGATTGGTGCAGTCGCATTGCTTGCAAAGTGGTCGTAGTCACTGACATCCTGAGCAGTAGCAGGTATGGTCCTTTTGGTACAGGCGGGTAACGGGACTGTATTTTACAATATCAACGCCACACTTGCGTACCTCGCCTTCGAAGTTGCGCACACCATTCTTTATACAATTCTCGTAGTGAAGCGTTTGCTCTCTCTACGAGGCCAGGTGCGGCAGGCGTTGGGTGAATACGATTCCAGCACCTATAACAAAATCATCCTCATGGTCGTCGAGTCCGCCATGGCATACAGTCTCTTCATCATCATCTTCATAATTGGATTTGCTATTCATTCAGACTCTGTATCCACACTATGCTTCTTATCTATTATCCAAGTTCAAGTAAGCAGGTAGAAACCTGAGTATCCATGTCTCTGACACTAACTTATTTTGTTTCAAAAAATAGGGCATAACAAAATAATTCATATCATTCCTGTGGCGCGGGGGAGGGCAGTTACACGTGCTTGGTCGACCAGAACTACTCCAGCAGCACCTACGGCTCTAGTATTTGTAGGGACTGCATCGATACCAGCAGAAGGAATAGATGTGGGCCAACTTGAAGCAACTAGGCCAGACCGGGACAGTGTCAGTGAGTTGGATTTTATTTCGTCGAAGTTGGCGGAGGCAATTGTATAGTGTGCCGTGCTTGATTTATTCCTCAACTTTTTGACTGTATTTATCTGCGTTACAACTTCTTTGTAATTTTATGGTGTAGGGCTTGCGATGGTTCGAAGGGGAAAAGAGAACAGAACGAGATAGATATGAGACGTGTTAGTAAGTAATACGAAGAGAGATCAGGCTAGGCTCTTAGGACGAGGACTTTCTAGGAGGCTTTCGGTCGTACTTGGAGTGGGGATCTCACTGTAGGATTTACTTTGCTATGCTTCGCTTCGCTTCGCAGCTTTCGCCGCTCTGCTGTGCTTCGCTATGCTGTAGATACGAGAGTTCATAAGTGATATATATACTGAAAACGGCAAGGTTCCTCGGTGATGGATGAGCCGAACGATTAGGCGAAAACAGAGGCACCGGGGAGTGGCGTCACAACTGACAAGGTAAAGTAGATGAAGAGAAAAAGGGTAAGAAAATTTGAATGAGTGACGGTATGAATAACGAGGATTGCATAGCATGTGGTCGGTCTCGAACGTTCTTGATTTGAAGCGTAGTCCGCGCTAGAGGACATCCGGTCCTTACAGTTGTTCTCAGTCCCAGTTTATTACAACTTTGTTGGAATATCAGGGGTCGAGGTACAAGCTCGACCTTTTC